TGAATTCTCTGGGTAGTGGGCGGAGTCCGGAAGACTCAGGGTAGATTTCGGCCATTCCAGGCTTCATTAATAGATCAGCTGAGGGGCCGTCATTGCAGCGCTGTAAAATCCCTAAACTGGTCATTTTGCGGGAACCCTGTCTTTGAAGGGAAAATTTTGATTACGGTGTTCTAGTATTTACCAATTTTACCAAGTTTTTTACCATTATTTTTGCGTGATAGTGTAAAAGCTGGAGCAATTTATTGGGTTATAATCGAATAAATAATAATGCAGAGATAAGTGATCCCAATGGTGAATGTATAGAAGTCTGATGAGGCACAGAAGAGGATGCGTCGATACAGACGAGACACCAGTGAAGTACATTGAAGTGATCACTCAACCGTTACGGATTTGGCCAAATTTCGTGGGCGATCAACCTAAAGAACACAAATCTTGAAAAAAAAGTCAACATTTGATGTATTCTGGGAGTTTTCTTATTGCATTCGGTCAAAGAGTAATGACAAAAAATTATTGTTTATAATTTGTAAATTGGATTTCTTACTCTTATTGATGTGATTTTTTATGCTTAATTTATCAAAATTCTGAAAGTAGTTGAAAATAACAACACTTACATTTTGTCCATTGAGCTCGGCAATGTGGTACGATAGCAATTGCAATGGGATAACCGTCAAAATGTTCTGCACACAATCTACGGTCTTAGGGACCCTCAAGACGTGTTTCATACCCGCCAAATCCTGCAAAAATTAGATTTAAGCACTCAAAATTGAAGTTACAAAAACAAATCAACCTTTTCTGGAACAGAATCATCAGCAATAATGATAGGCGCACCGCCACGAGCGACTACTTGTTGTAAAGCGTTTAGAGATTTCTGAAAGATTCAAATAAAACGTACCATAACCTCTAATTTTCGTCAGATATACCTTATAAACAGAATCATTACAGATAACCATACATATGCGCAGATTTTCGTCTACCATTGCCAACGGACCATGTTTCAGCTCTCCAGACATTATTCCCTCACAGTGCATATAAGACAGTTCCTGTGGTATAAAACATTTTGAAGGACAATTACGATATCTCGGGCGAGTACCTTTATCTTTAGGGCTCCCTCAAGGCAGGTAGCGAAATTAAAGCCTCTACCCATAACAAGAAGTGATTTTTCTTTGTAAATTTCGTTAGCAATTTTTAGGGCTTCATTGTCCAGATTTAGAACTTCTTGGATAAGCTCTGAAAAACATTGTATAATACAATCCGAAATCATTATAAAACGACAAACAAATCTCTACTTGCCTGGTAATTGGTTGAGAGCATTGATAATCTCTTTTCTCCTATTTGTTTTGGAAATACGATCATCTGACAGGACTAGCGCAAACATCAACAGTGCAAGAATTTGTGATGTGTAAGCCTGAAAGATGAAATAACTAT